AGGAGTTACATAGTTAATGGATACACAAAAGGAAAAGTTTCTCGATACTCAATATCAACATGATGTGACTTGCAAGAGGGCCTGTCTGTCATCTACCCAAATCACAGCTGAGTAACTGAGAAACCCAAGAGACTGCACTGTGATATATAGCATAAACATAAGTGTGCCTAAAAACTAGGAAGAACAGCAAACAATAACCACTTATGAAAAATGTAAGTGAACACTTAAAAAAGCATTAGACTTTTGAAACAAAACCTGGGTGCATATTTATAATGCAATGAAACCAAGCCAGGAGTTTCATATAGAAGTACAGCAAACACACACTTCCTCTTGCACAGGACCAACTGAGTTTCAAGCAATAGTCACACTCTACCTCTAAGAATGCTTTTTTCTCCAGGGATTTCAGAGTGTTTCAACATTAACTAAACCTCAAAATGAGCAAACAAGAGGCAGCTCCATCCATGCCCGAAATGCAGCCACATAAAAAAAATGCAACAGGGGTCTCGATAATCAGCACAGAGTTGCACTGCGCAGGAAAAACTAGAAAGAAAGTCAAGATTTAAGAGCAGAATGTAGATTAAACTAAAATTTGCTTCAGATTCACACATAATAGGGCAGAAAAAAGCCTGTGATTTCCAACAGCATCCAACCGGCTAGTTTGGCACAACTTCAGTACTGCAGGGATATTTTTCTCAGCTACCAGAAAGAGAAGCCTGATACATTTCATCCCTTTACCTGCTCTGTGAACAGCTCTATATGCAATTCATTGGAACTAAGGATGCAGCTCAAACTTACTGGCTCCTGCAAACCTACAAAATGAGACTACCTGATGGATTGCCATAACAAGGGGCAGCTACAGGTATTCAGGGCTCTGCTGTACAGCGGCAAATAAACAGTACTGAAATTTTTGTGTTACCCTAATGACAAACATGCAAGATCTAGACATAGAGGGTGCCAGTCACCAACAAAGCACATGTATGTGTGGCAGACAGCATGATATAAATCAGAACACTTGAAATCACACTTGGAGAGATTGTTGAGACAAGGATGAAGTCAATGCAAACAATCTTCCACACACAAGAGAACAAAACACGGCTGAGTACCTCACAGACAGCACCTCTGGCTTTTAGCCTCCTAAGTTTTAACAAGTAGAGCTGGTCCAGTTTGACCTTCTGCAATCCAAGATCCATGAAGCTTATGGGAAATACAAAGAAATCTTGCTATTTCATAACGAAGCCATGATGAGAAACAAGACAAACAGGTGTTTAAAACAAATTAACTTGCTCACAAAAAGATGGATCAAATCCCTTTCTTTGTATGCATCTAACTTTTCTCCCTGTCACAGAACAGCAACACCTGCTTATCTGTGGAGAGCCACTATTTTGTGTCTTCTATAAAACCTGTGAGCAACAACAGAGCTTCCTTTAAAGCTACCACCTGTATGCTTGTTTATATTTCTATTCCCTACAGAAAAAAAGCCATTTAAAAACTTTGATGCAAATGCTCCTTTCAGCATTATGACTTCAGACTACAATTGCTTTTTAATGTCATACATTTACTCTCCCCACATTTTTGGTCACTTGCTTACTGTACATTCCTTATATTTTGAACTGTACAGAAACAGTGAAGATTAATCCACCTCAGCTTCCTTAATTAACACCACTTTCCAGTTTCCATAAATCAGCATGCAGAAAACAGGACTGTACAAGAACTCCAAAAACAGCAACTGTTTTGACATATTGTAAGAAAAATCTGAGTCTTCTGCATCTATAGTCTTTAACCACATCACTTCTTCCTTACTGCCTGTCCACATTTGTCTGTGCTTTCCTCTCAAGTAAAGTAATTCTGTATGAATTCTCTTTCCTTTTGACTACTATGCTTTGCCATCAGAATATTCAAGGTCTGAGAAACATAACCAGAGTAGCAGCTTATTTGATAGACATTTAGAATTCAGAACAGCAGCTATTATCTACTTCTGAAGTCTACAGAGTATGTTACCAGTCTACAGAAAGTATTAACATGAAGAGAGATAATGGTGCAAAAAAGCAGACCATGACTATTTTCTATATGAGCAAACAGGCTCTTTTTGCAAGTCACTGGCACCCCATGGTAACCATCAGTCCAAATCACTATAAACGTCTGTTAAACATGAATCGAATACTGAATAAAGCAAATACAGAAGTCTTACCCATACGTAGGTGGTGTTGCTAAAGAAAATTCCTCTGTGGAAGATATACTCCACGACACCTCATGCTTAGAGTCATTGTTTCCCAGTTCTCCCATTACCCAGTCAGGTAAACAGTCTGGGCTACTACTCCGAACGCTTCTCGAATTTGGTTCATCAAAATAAATTGACTACAATTAAAATAAATGCAAGATTAACACTAGAATACATTTACAGAAATATATTCTTTACACTGCTAAGGTCATTACTTGCAGGAATATCTGAAGTATAAAAATCCTTTTTCCACTGCAGTCAGTGAGGCCTGCACATACTACCTTCCCAACCCATGGAAATCAGTACAACAGGCAATGGTTTCAGTGTTTTCCAGTTCTTCTTTCAATATGAGCAATTTTCGCATAGATTAGGACTGTTATCTCACTAAAGATGGCTACTAGTCACCTCATTTAAGCATATTTTTCCTTTCATAAGAACTATCTGCTGATTAAAATACAGCCTTGAGTATTTTATTCCATCTTTTCAAATTAGACACAAATTACTTTTCTGATCCTTCAGAACAGTTATTTTTACATGCCTTCCAAGAACCTGAAGCTTTAAGAAGGTTCTTCAAAATAAAAGATTCTGCACATTGAAAGATTTGACCAACACCAGTTACAAGATATACAATGTAAATGCCTACATCCATTCAGGACTAGTTTTCACATTTATGCCAAAGCAAAGACTCAAAAGCATTTACAGAGTATGTTTAAGCAAGCTTGTCTGATAAAGAAACTACACTCACCATGTACGTAGGTAAAGTTTTCAGCATTCCTGGTTCTGGTTTATGTGTAAAAGGACCTTCCAGCACACCTCGCTTTAGCATGTGGAGCAGGAGTTTTGCATATAGGTTCCGATTCTTCCTGCCCGCTACTCCTGTGCCCGCTCCAGAGGGTTCGCATAGTTTTTTAATCCACAGGGCACATCTTTGTCGTTCTAGGAATATAAATACACATAAAAGCACTGCACGTTTCCAGAGCAAATCAAACACATAGGAAAAACAGAAGCCAGTCACCTATTTTGTAGCTGTTTCCCTTCTAATGCAAAACAAACACCCCCCCAAAACGACCGAACCAAAGGCAAAAGCTGTTAAATACCTAAAGTCTTTAACAAGAGTTGAAATTTAAGTCATCCACATTTTCTATCAATCACGTTTACCAGAGGTTTATGACTTCTACAAACAGCATGATCAGAATCAATCCCTAGTAAGCACAGAACACACAAGTCACCAGGAGCTCTGAACTCGCTGCAAGAGCCCCCATTAACTACCACACATCGCTTACACGAGCGTTTCTGTTTGAAATACACAATAAATCTTCATCCATTTTAAAAGTCTTTATTGATGCACATTTTACCACATTTACCTGACCTATGCTGTAGGTTTAGAACATGAGGCTTCATATCCACAACACAGCGATCGAATTCTGCATCGAGTTTTCCCCATACTTCCTCTTCACCATTCATTTTGAAAGAGCATGAAGTAACCTGCAAAAGCATTCACATCGGAATAGAAAAGATCAAACCCCACTACACTTCAGTGTCTGTACCTTAGCCCATGCAAAGATGTGTTTTTAACTGTAAGGACAATAAACCTAAATACTTCATTATGCTTAAACAAGCACAGAAATAAGAGTGATTAATTGCAAACGGAAGAAATTGAATTACACTTACAAGAGCGTGCTAGTTTAGATTGGAAAAGGCATACTCAACCACACAAAACCGCATTCAATTACACACAGTTTGCATAAAACACCTACAGGCATTTGTTTCATAGCCACATTGGTAAGCTTTTCCTTCTGAGAACTAGCTTTGGGAACGAAAACCAATGACAAACCTACGGGGTTAAGAGCAACAGGACCAACACACGTTGTCAGAACTGATTTATTAACGAAGGAGAGCTGAAACTGAGCACCGAGAGCTCCTGAACCCAGCTCACGGCACTGCCTTCCCCGCTGTAGGATGCATCTCTGCGCGTCCCAGCTCGCCGCTGGCACACTTCCTTGGCAATCTCAGCCCAGCACAGCAGCCGCTGCGGCTCTTCCCTTGGGGCAGACAAGACAGCCCCGACACACCCCGGTCCCGCTTCCCTGCCGAGCCCCGGGGCCCTCTGAGCTTCAGCAGGAGGGAAACCAACCGCGTTCCTACTTCCCTTCCCTCACAACGATGTTGGGAGCCACAAACCACCCCCCGGTCCCGCACCCCAGCCCCGCACTGCCCCCGGACACGCCGCCCCCTTCACCTCGCTCTCCGCAACGCACAGCCCCGGCTCCGAGGGGGAAGCGAGCCGGGCCGCCGGGTCCCGGCTCCCCTCGGCGGGGCAAGGCTGAGCCGGCCCGGCCGGCAGTTCAAACCGGCCGCACCCGCGCTCCCGGCAGGCCCCGCAGGCACCGCGCGTTTCCGCTTCCGCGGCCTCCCGCGGGTCGCCAGGAGACGCGGCCGGGCCCCAGGCGGGGAGCCGGGGGAGGGCCGTTACTCTGGTGCCGCTGTGAGGGGCTGAGTTTGGGCCCGATAGCCGGTACGGAAACAACCTCTCGTGTCTGAGAGAGGACACCGGGATGGAGGCGGTTGTTACAGGAGGGAAACAATCACAGCCCGTGCTTGTTCACTACAGCCTGAAGTGATCGATACCCCTCGGACACGGCCAGCAGCGGCTGTGCCGGCCAGGCCCGGCGCACCGAATGGTGCGATCATCACCCAGCGCTTCCCCCAAGTATACTTACGTGTAAATAACTAAATATTTATACACTCCGTTATGTACACACATTAAAACCCTGAGGAGGGAGCACCAAGGGAGAAAAGGGACATGCCAGAAATGTAATGAAATTGATTTAGGTCCCTTGCACAGCGACAGACCCAGTGTTCAGCACTGCAGGAGAGCCTGGGCTGGGAAAGTGAGGGTGCAGAAGCAGCGGGAGAGAACTTTTGAGTTCCTTGAGATGTGTTTCTTTGGCTTAATTGCTACCGGCTGAGAATCAGCTCTGCGGTGGAAAAGAACATGAGGCAGAGCAGAATGGGGACCAGTATTCCAGGAGACATTTCCTGATGGAATAGATCCAGTTTCTGGCGCTGTTTACTAATGCAGAACAGGGTGGCCAGAGAGGTCGAAGTCTACCTGCATTGATTTAACAATTGCATAGCTTCTATCTGAAAGAGAAAGAAAAACTAAAGATGCAAGAAATAGCTGAGGTCTTGTCCCCAGCTAAGGCTGCGGCTGGGACATGCTGAGTTCTGACGTGCAGTGGCCCTCCTGAGGGAATCCCTGTAGACACACCGCTATAGAACACATAGATGTCCCAACCAGAATACAGATCAAGTTCCCAATTTGAATTGTAAAAAGATGTTCGTATAAGCAAAGCACGTTCAGTACTTTTCTGTTTTCATCTCATTTTACCATGTTCTCTTATCTCTGTAACTGTCTCAGCAGGTTGCCACAAGTAATGCGAGCACAGCTTAAGGCATTCTTTCAAACATCTTTTTGGCAGATTTCACTCACTCGTACCAGCCTTTGGAACACCTCTACTTGCGAGACATTACTTTTTAGACTTTGGAAGAAAAGCTTTCATGTCTATAAAGTTTTGATTCACAAACACCTCCCTGCTTCAAAGACTTAGCAAGTCACAGATTCATTTTCCCTCCCTCTTCTTGCTGCAGGAGACTAAATAATAAATTCAGCATAAGAACACTGGCTCCTAAGGGTGATTCTTTCAAGTATTCAAATACTGCATATCCAGCTAGGAAGCAGAGCCAGCTGACGCCATCAGTTGTTATGCTGCTGCACAGGTAAGAAAAACTGGGGAAATTTGCTTGGAAAAATCTTAATGTTCCTGAGGGAACTGGTTTTGTATAAAATACAAATCATTTCAGGGGAAAAATAGCATTTCTGCAGTGTTTCATGCTAACTTCACTTACGGCAACTTCCCAGTGTTCTGCTGTGAAAGACAAGTTAATATTAAACTGTGTTGGGTATCTCAGCTCTGTCCCGAACATCCCGATCCCAGCGATGTACCCACACAACATTTAGACTAGATGTCCACACAGATAGGCTCCTGCCAGCTGGTTTAGGTATGTGTTAAAAGTAGTTATGAATATCTTGGCCTGTAAGTCAAACGGCATTCAAGGATCCCACTTAAACATGTTAGGAACCAAAACACAGCTTGCATGCTACCAACAAAACACTTTATTCAGCTGCTAGCATGAATTTGTCTATCTGTGCATTAGAGAATTAAGTTGCTGATGAGGACAAAGTATGAAATACTTAATAAAATCTCCCTCAATCTCTCCTTAAAATTAGGAAGCATAAGGCTTCTACTAAAAGACTACTATACTACTAAACTTTACTATACTAATAAAATATGCACATGCAGCCTTCAATAGTAAAATAATTCCAGTATGTTCAAAGTAGCTGTAGCATCTTACAAGTATTTTAATCGTAATGGTAAATTGTCCTTTTGGAAAGTTCAACAGTAGCTTGCTTACTGTATCACTTACTGCTGCTGGGAGCCGCATACACAATTTATTATCACATACACAATTTATGGTAAGTGCACAATGAAGATTTCTCTATCACTTTCTAGTATGTAGAAATCATAATTATTTTTTTTTATGAATGGAATTACTTTCATACAATGTAATACAATGGAAATACAATGGAAATACCATGGAAATGCAATGGAAATAGAGACATAAGCACAAAACTTGCCAGACTGGATCATACCAATGATCTACCGTAAATGAAATTAGAAGTGCAGCTTACTTCAAAGCTACTTAATGACCAGGAATCATTGCTATTGCTCAATGGTGTGCGATTATTTTTTTTTTTAAAGGAGTCAGTTGCCTTGTGTAATATTGAAATAGTGGTAAAAATTAACAGCTGTTTAAATCACTGGTTTCAGGTTAGAATCTCAAAAGCATAAAAAGAGATTCAAGTTATGCTTTGGAGATTGAATTTAAAAACTCAAAACCATAAATAATCTTATTTTTCACTTTTTTTTAACAAAATAGGGGGATTTTTTAAGTGTAAAAGAAGCCTTTATCTGATGCTATTGACATTTAAACCACGGATGGATACATTTGGAAATCTCAGTCTTTCTACTTGGGTAAATTACGGAAAATCCTTGGCTAATGACCCTCTGTCCATCTATAATTAAAGGTCCACTCCCTACCACAGGGGAGCAGTAATGGCGTCGGAACCCAGCTAATAACTTTGGGTTGGCCTTTCTGTATAAAGCAGCTAAGAGCTAAAGGATTTGATTGATGATTAGTTAATATTAAAAAAGGACACACTATTGGCTGAAAATTACTTTATTGTAAAGGGACTACTGTTGCGAAAGTCATTTACAGTTTATGTAAATGTTGGAAGTGTGGAAAGAGAAGCAGCACTGCAGGGGTTTTGAGGAAGGCAAAGAGAAGAGAATGAGAATTAATGGCTGAAATAATGTGGCAAAACTTGCGAGAGAGGCTGGTAGAGATGGTGGAAGGGAAAAGAGCTGAGCATGCATTGGCAAAGAGTCTGGAGTTCACTTGACAATTTACACTCACAGGACCTAAGTTTTCCTCTCTTATATATAATGTTTTGTCTCAGTAAGGCAGAAAATTCATACTGTATTGCTTCTCTGAGATTCATTCTTGATCTTCACATGGTTTCATGTCTGATGGGTCCTTCTTCACAAGAGTTGAAAAAAAGCCACGTTCTGTTGAAAACAAGAACTTGGGTTATATTCTTGAAATGTGATAGTTGAAAACAACAGGTCTCATGGACCCTCCTAGGTGGGCAATCAACCTTTGCATCTGAGTAAAACCACTAGAAGAAATACACTATTTCAGTTTCTATTTTAAGGAAGGCTAAGCTACATCCACCAGAAGCCATGCCAAATGTGAGGTTTTTTCATCAGACATAGGCTGTGCTTCTCCTTCACTTCTTTAAAAGGAAAATAAAACTTACAAGGGCTATTCTATGCCAGGAATATTGATAAAAGAAATGCCAAGCATTTCCTCTTGTTAACAAACTTCACTATTTAGTCTGTTTATTAATTCTAAACACCCGCATGCCCCTGAATCAGTTCCTCCAGCAGCAATTCCTCACTACAGCTCTTAGCTGCTTCGTAACACTCTTGGTCTAGAGTCAGACCAGTGTGTTACCAATCAGCATAATGTGGGAATTATGCACATAGTCATATGTCACCAGAATAGGAGTAAATATGGCAGGTTCTCAAGGCGGCAGCAGTGCTCAGGCTCTTTACCCCTAGAGAACTTGTTGATCCAAGGCTTCATGAAAACCCATAATACTTTACATATTTTACTTTGGGCTAGACCTAAAATATAGGTCCTAAAATATAGACCTCCAAATATAACACCTTCTGAGAACAGAACAGGAATTAAAGCAGGGCTCTGATGTATCAAAAGAAGTCTTGCTGTGCATTCTCTCCTTCACTCAGGCCACTTCTTCCAAAATACCCAATAGCTCTAGTACAAGGCAGATGAATTAGCCAAATAGGGCTTGAGGATGAATTATGACATTGCCCCCCATGCTGAAGTGCTTGTTATTCCACCAACAGAAGCTGTTCTGTGATCAGCCTAGCTCCTACCTTTGAAACAGGCAGGGAGAGTAAGGTTGCCATCCACACATGGGACTGGTACGGTATAGGCACAGGATTTTTCTTTATTCTTGCAGAAGAAGGATACAGTTTCACCATGCTGAACACCATCCTTAAGGTCATTCTGAACTCTTTTCTTCTCACCATTGTATAATACTACAGCTTTCTTCACGGGTATTTTACATGGTCCTGTAAAACAATCCGGATATAAGCAGCATGTAAGGATAATTGGAACTTTATTTTGAAAAGAGGGTAGGGTAGATCCCATCAGAAATCTGTACAAGTGAAATCTGGGAATAGAAAATAATGTGTTTCACACATAGAAAGTACTTCTGCTGGTATGACAGTTCTAAAGAAATTCAGATACTCAAGTATGTGGTCAAAAGTATCCAGAGAAAATCCAGCCTCAGTAAAATTCCTAATTATACTACGTAGGAAAAGGAGAGGAAACACTCAGGTAAAATAAAGGTACATGGCTGGTTGTTGAAGTTAATTCAGATTCATCATGTCATACAACATTCAATGTTAGCAGTGGCCTTCAAATTACTATCTCAGTTTCCTTCCTCCGTGTCTTCTTGCACAAAGGAGTAGTAGCTCACTGTCAGTGTGGTGGTCATTTAGTGTTCTTTATATGTATGTAAGTTGTTTGATAGTGGTTTCTAACAGACAGTATATGTTTACCTTTACAGGTTGGCTTTGTGGACCAGTTTCCAGTATTTTCACACCGGGAATGCTTAGGTCCTTCCAGCACATAGCTGGGCTGGCAGCCGAAGCTGACACTTTCATTATAGTGGTATGTTCTACGAACAACAAACTCCAAGAATCCATTTTCTATTCCTGTTGGAGTGGGGCATGTGACAACTGGGGTACAAAAACAAAGCTTTATCAGTGTTGCAGTTCCAAAAGACACACTGTATACTTCAAAAACTACATAAAACTGTCATGGTGGTTCATTTCAGCCTCTTGCACAGGGAAACACAGCCAGAGGAAGATGGTTTAAACCCCATCATAACTAAATATTACTTGTTTTAAATACACACCTATTGCAATCTGTGGTTATGACCAAAAACTATGTATATCCAAAAACTTCAGCTTCACTGAAAGCAGTGAAGTTCTTAGGACTAAGGGTAAGGTTTTCTGTTTCTTATGTAATTCCACTTCATAGAATAAAACATTCCCTGTGCTCTGTAGCCAGGCCCCTGTTCCCCTGTGGACTACATTTAGCAGGTTTTGTTTATATAACCTTTATACCTGCAGCAAATATTTTGTCAATCCCACATTGCGTGTAATCTCGCTAACAATCACCTTGCACGCACGAGTCTGACTTCCAGAATAATTCTGTGTTTGCAATCACAATTGTAAAACTAAAATCACACAGTTTTATATATACCATTCTAGGGAATATCGTTAGGTGTTGATAGAAGTACATCACTTACCCTTGCACTCTGGAATACTGCTCCAGTTCCCATTGGCCATGCAGGTGGCTGTCTCATTCCCAATAAGTGCAAGGGGAGGCACACATTCAAAAGTAATTGTGTCCAGGAAATGAGAAACGTTTCCAGGTTTTGAGCGACGGTAAGAAAGGACTGAAAATTCAGGCAGCGAGGGAGGTGCACAAGTCACCGCTGGAAAAGCACATAGGAATAAAAGTTCAAAGATAAAGTATTACTAGAGTAACAGGAGCAACAGACTTATAACCAAACTGACACACACTGCCCGTTGTGGAAGTGTAGCTATGAAAAAAAAAATCAGATTAAAAGTCTTAAAGGATGCAATTCCTTATTTTTGCTGTATTTTTTCAGACAATAGTATGCAGTATATTGCTTTCTCAGTGAAGTCTTTATGCAGGACAGGTTATAGCAAAGCCACTTGGAACAGTTGGAAAGTCGTGACAATGTCCTCTTTTTATACACTGGGAGAATGAATTTGAGTGGATAAGCATCTTACATTTGGCTGTAAATAGCATCCCTGATCCTGCCTTTTGTACAGACCTTTAAACCCTATTTCTCTAAAACTAGAATCCACACATCTGAAACCAAACACACAGAGTTCTTGATTTTTCCTTTTTTGCATGGCCCTATGGGAGGCCTCTAAATAAGAGTATATGTAATTCTGAGCAACATAAAGGAATCTTTCTGTAATGACAGAGAAGTTCTTTAGTGTTTAAACACATACGTTGACACTGTGGAAGACTTCCACTCCACTTTCCATCTGCCATGCATTGGCTTATTCTTGTCCCGACAAGGTTGTAACTGAAAACAAGAAGAACTGATTATCAGGAAGCTTAATGACCACAGAGAGGAATCAAGTTGTTCTTTGCAAGAAACATTACCTTTTTTCATAAACAGACCTAAGAGTCAGTTGAAATCCTTCTCTAGTTCTAGCACTTACTGACCTCAAAGGGAATTTAGATTCAAAACTGTTAGTATTGAAGTATCCAGACAAAAGGCTTGATACTTTGCTGTTTGAACTATATATTCCATCTTGTATATTAATTTCTACAATGAATTAGTACTGTGGATATATGTAAGGAGTGAACATTGATCTGTGATTGCTATTGTATGGTCTTGTATGGTATTGTATGGTTTCTTGGGAGGAATTCCTAGCTAATTATGGCAATTCAGATAAAGCTATTGCAAAGGTCTAAGCACTCTTAAGAGCTAAAGTCACTGAGGTGCATTATTTTAGTGCCAGATAGCCCCATTTAATTTCCCTATGCACTCTGAATGCTTCTCTCCCATCCTCTGTACTTACGTTATTTGCACTCATTCTGAGTTTTAAATTGCATAGTGAATCTACCATTTCAATATCACACAGCTAAAAGCCAGTGAATTACAGTTAGCAAAACTGAATCAAGTCCCATTGCTATATGTGGTGTCATACTTGAATTTATTTATTCCTTACCTTGCTCATCTTTTGCAGGAGAAGGAGGCAGTTGAGGCTGTTGATACTGTTCAGTGCACTCTATGCTATGTCTCACCTATGGCCTTCACAGGTAAGCACTGTTTATTCATTCGTTACCCAAGTAAAATGCACTGCATGCTACTATCAAATATTTCCCTGCATTTAACAGAACTGTTTTTCTTTGAATGCATCCTCATTTCTAAAGCTAACAAGTAGCCTTGAGTACAAGTGCAATTGCTCCAGGGACTGAAGTAGGATTAACCTCATGTTTTCGTGTATTGAGCTCAGAAAGGCATAGAAATAAAATTCTCAGTCTCCAGAGCCTAACAGCATAACAATTTAGATGGAGATTATCTTCTCCCTGCTGTAGGATTTCATTTTACGATGTAAGAGGATTTCAAAAGCAGGGACAGCAGTCCAGAATAGATCTTTGCCTAAAAACTCTGCTATTTTAGTGTTTTCCATGTCTGTAAGACACTGCTTTGGAGTAGCAAAGCTTTAGGATGTTACAGCCAAGACCAAACAGAGGAGGATCATCAGATATGCTTCATTTTTTAATATGTGAAGTGGAGGTGGGGTTTTATGTGTGGTTCTCCAAGTTCCCTGGTTTGCAATACTGCAGCAGGTGACACTAGAATGTAATACTGTGATTTAGGTTATTTATTCAACAGCATGAGGAAGGGAACTCTTACCCTGGTTCACAGGAAAAATTTATAGAACTCTGATAGTGGAGGTCTACAAAATCAATTTTTCCATGCGGCAAGGGTCCAAGAGTGGGACATCTCTTTGCTGTTAATTAAAGATGAAAAAAAGGATAATATTATTTCACGAGGTGTGAGGATAATGAAAACAAGATGCTAATGAAGGGGTCCTGGTGTATTTCACATTTCTCCACTTCTGTGTACTACATTTTGTAAGTCGAGTTGTTCTACATGTCTGTCAAAATACAGCAGGTTCAAAGTGTTTGTGATTAAATAATTTTTAGCATTTGAGGAAAATAAATCCTGTGCAATGAAATGACAAAAATGAACAGTGAGGGATACAGTGAATGCAGGTGTTATCAACTGGTATATGTCATTAGAGTATAAGAACTGCTGGGCCGAGTCAGATCAAGGTTCACCTTGTCCGGGTCCAACCTTCATCATCAGGGAGCAGAGTTATAAGGGACAGCATGGGACATGCATGGGAAGAGCCTTCCCCTGTTACTTGTAGGGTTGATTTGGTTTTACTTACGTAGGCACAGCAGCGTGTTGAGAGGCCACTTGCCAGTCGGGAGGCAGGTGTACTTCCTCTGGCCATTGTTGGGGACGAACCCAGGCCTACAGGTATATTCCACTTCCTCACCCACTTCATACACGCTTTTATCTACATCAATGGTGGCAAATAGCACTTGTGGTGGTCTGGAACAGACTGGAGGAAAGGAGACGCTTTACAAGAAATTGGGCAGAAAACTGGAGTTGGTTTTATTTCTCAACTGGAAGCACAGGTTTCTATGCTATAATATGTTCCTGCACTGAGCTATACTGTCCTTCTGTAATCTATAGGTATATAACATTTTGACATGGCTCATGGCTGCTGTAAGCATTTAGCCAGAAAGAAATGTGTCCTCTTCTCCTCAGTAGCTCTATCAATGGCCCCAGTGAGATTTTGTGTCACTTTTTTTGTACTGAATTTTACTTTTGCTTCAAAATGGATTTCTGAAGGTATTCTGCAAAGTGAGTCAGTTATGGTAAATTAGAATGGGTAAAAGAAGTTGAGAGGGACTTAGAACAAACTAATACATTTCATTTCTTATCTATCTTAGTTTGGTGGGGTCAGCCCAAAATCAGACTTTTTTTCTTAATTAAATTTCTTTTTCTCTGATTCCCCTGAGTTTTCTATTCTTGGGGCACTCGGTTACATTAGACAGTTCTGATTCCAAAACAGCTTTCACATGTTGACAGCATGAACAACGCATCACCCAGAGAGTGCGAACAAGAGGGGAGCCGTGAGGGAGGAATGGAGGGTGCAGACTGTGCTTCTGCAGAAGACATGGAGAGATGTTCCTGCTGAGATTGTGGGGAGAGAACAGAGGGACCAAAGCTTGTGCTGTAGAAATGAATGGCAAAGAGAGGGAGAGAGAACATGAAACAGTGCCCAAAGCCTTTGGTGTGGGGGAAGAAGGAGAAAAGCAAGGCAGGATCTGTGCGAAGCCACCCCTGTAGTGAAGGGGAAAACGAGGTGAGCTGGGCATAGGAACAGGGCAAGGGTTAATTCCTGGCACACACAATGCCCCTCGGCCTGCAGGCAGCCTGGTTTCCACAACTTGCGTCAATACTTCTTCATTTTCCTCCATTTTCTTCTTTTGTATACAGCATCTCACCTCACCATAGGAAGGGGTGGAGGAAGGAATGGAAGGGAGGGAAAAAAGAACCCCAGAGGTTACAGCTCTCAGAGAAAATTCCTATTCAAAGCAGTTGACCAGAATTGTCTAAAGTTAGCTTTTAAATCCTGTTGCTTTTTCCAGCTTCCATCATTCACACTTGAGAATAGCATTGCCCTTAGAAAGTGGAAGACTCTTACCTTTCCCTGCAAGAGAACAGTGGCTCAGAGCCACGGCGCACACCACCAGTGCCAGGGAGTACATTGCTGCGGCCCACAAGCGTCCGGAATGACCCTCAGGCCAGTGTTTCTTCCCTTAAAAATAAAGGCACCCACAAAAGGATGGTTACATATTAACTCTTTGTATTTATTCCCGTCCTGGTAAACAGAAGATAAAAGGTTCTTTGTATTGCTTGTAATTAAGGATGAAACAACCATCACATGTTGCATTGGTACATAATGCAGGGATTCAAAAAGCCATCTCTGCTGAAAACCTCTCCTCTCCCATTGTGTCTACAGAGCATCTCCTGTTGGGACTGCAGAGCATCTCGTGTTTTCAAAACCATCACGTTTTGAAAAAAAACAGTATTATCTTCCCAATATCTTTAGAGAATGAGGATATTTGGAATATGACATTGGATCAGATAGAACTGTCACCAAGAAACTCTTGTTTTATCATTTGAGCATGTATTTCTATGATTCCTGAGAGTTTTAACAAAATCTATTTAAGGCAAAATAATAATTGTTGGAGTGACACTTATATTGTCATATGCCTCATCATAACTGATGATACCAGCTTCATGCCAGTTTATATTACATTAGACCTGACCTGAAATTTCAGGCTTCAGGGCCCTGTTTGAACAGACTTACATCATCAATGAGCATGTTTCAACTAACAGATAGCTAAAAACAGCAGAGACAGTGCTCACAACACCAGTGCTGCAGGGAAAGTGAAGTAGGGATTCTGGACAGTGCTTATGTGTGACAAGGCAGTCAGACTTCAATCATATTTTTGGGTATTAGGTTTGGCGCTGCAGTTTGGGATTATCGAGTCAAAACTCCACAGGTACCAGCTGAGGTTCTGATCACTGCAGTTCTCCTAATTTAGCAGATTTTTAACTGCAGGAGCATCTGAAGTGCAACCAAAATAACATTTGTGTAATCATTGTTCCGCAGTTTGGTGTTTCTAATCTCAGTATCCTCCTCCCCTGCTGACTCACAGCCTGTGAGGGGGAGTGAGGGACATTTGAAGCTCTAACGAGCAGCTAGGTTATGTCAAACTCTTACTGCTGTGATCTGAAATAGTTTGTTTATTTTTGTTTTAGAAAGTTTCTCTGTTTCCACTTAAAACACACTTCTTAGCAACATTATTAAGCGATCAGGAACACACTAATCTTCTCTGAAAGTCAATGCTGCAATGTCCTGCTCAGACTATTTACCAAATACAGAGTGCCAAAGGGCAGAGTTCCACTGCTAAATCAGCAGAAAAGAAGCCCTGATTTCATTTTCTGTGTCTACATCTGATTATTTTCCCATTTGTCCCAGCCTGCTTCTTCCTCTTCTCTTCCTCTGCAAAATTTCACAACTATCTTTTCCCTTCCCAACAGACTGCAGTTCTGTAATGAACTTTCTTGCCTCTGGTTTAAATCCATCCTCAGGTCCGCCTGCTACTTTGATTACATTCTTTTCTATGTTTAAAACAGCCCAGGAATAAATGGGCACAATTTTATCCATTTCAACATTGACCATACGAGCATTTCTCACTGTGCTCAGCAGATGGCAGAACGTACTCTACCATGTACCATACAGGTGTAAACGTGAACTGAAAAGTTTTCTATTGTACTTGAAGAAGAGGAGGGGAAAAAGGGGTTAAATTACATACACATGAATTTTTCCATAGATTTTGTGTGTGATGACTTTACTGCTGTTAAAATTGGAAGCAAAACTGAGTAATTGTGTGTGGATTTGAGAGGAATGAATATTTAAGTATGCATTTCACATAACTGCATAATAACTGCCAATATTGTGATTCTTTCTGCAAATGTATTTCTCTGCAATGCAAACATGAAAGTGTATATTACAAATAGCTGTGTCTTTTCCATTAACCGGAGAAGACATAATTATTATTGTATGGAATCACCCTGGCAAAGCACGAGCAAACCAACCCAGTTCTTTCTGTATTTGGTGATAATATGCAATTATATATATCATCTAATTTTCCATCAAATCCAACCCACTCCTTTAGCACATGTGCTATTTAGTATTATAGCTCCTATAAAACCAAATCATGAAGCAAATTTCATTTCATTAGTGAACACATAAATACTATCACGAGAAATGGTAGCTACAAGCAGAGCACATAGTGTGAGAACACCCTGAGATGATGTCAGCTAGGGCGATACACAGAGTATCAGTATCACAGCAGTCTAGTTGTTACCTGGGTTCGTGCTAGCATCACCTGAAAAGAGAATATGCAGGAGGGGTGTGAACAAACTGGCTTTGCAGAAGTAATCCTGCCCAGACAAAAATACAAAGGGCAGCATAGCAGAGATCAGGAGAGTGTGTTTGCAAAGACAGCAATTAAATGATGAAGACCAGCATCACTGGCCAATCAGCATGGTTTCACTAAGGAGTAAGAGAGAGGAAGAGGATAAGCCAGCAAAGGCCTTAGAAGTGAAGTGAAAGTGTCATAGGGAAGCGAAGGAGCAAAAGGGGTGCTAAAAGAAAAGT